CCCTATAGGATATTTACACAGTTGAATCGTTTCTCGGTGAAAAATCAATTGTCACACAAAGTTCCAGGTAGGAGATAACAGATAATGTACTCTTCAACGAATTTGCTTTTATTTTTAGTTGTGTAGGAATGTGAGATGTACCGGGGTTTCATGGAGTCTCCGCATGTAAGATTAAACAGTTGGTGCACGAAAGACGTGAGATGGAAGGGTGTTCCAAGTAATCCATACTCTGACTGCAAATGTCGGCATTCTGGTCGACACTTTGGAATCAGTAACTTGAAACCGTGTCCCTTAAGGTGTATAACGTTCGACAACGTGAGCAGCGGTCGGCATGGGTGGTTTAGGTTCTACATTATTTGATACGTCAAAACGAAATCTCCACTAATTCGGCGGTACTGAACAGCATATTGTCCCAATGATGATGAAATCCCTTGACCACCTTGGTGGAGCAGAGTCGTTTTTGCCTGAACTAAAGTTGAGCTGTCGAAAGAATGTTGTATCTGTCTAGGTGTCCCACCAGATAATCTGGCACAACTTACTTTCGAAAACACCAGAAGCAAGGTTACAGGTCGGTAGTTAACGGGGTCGCTACGACAACCACCTTTGTATATAGGCGAAATGACTCCTTGTTTCCACGATTCTGGGAGTGCTGCTTGGACGAACATTCGGTGGACCAGAATGGCTAGTGGTTCCGATGTGTGATTCGCCAAAAAGATCGTAGAATTTGGACCCATCAGATCATGGTTATCAGTATTAACCAGGTGTTTTACCATATTTTGGTGTCCAGCTATTTAAATGATTTCATTTGGACCGGACTAGGAGAAGAGGATGTGAAAATGAGTACTCGGATTCAAATGGGGATAATGTAACCAGGGGTGGAGAAGAACTTAACTTGGTCCGAGATAGCTGATTAAGTTATTTCTGTTTGTTTAATTTGTTGGATTGCTCATGTAGAATGGCAAAGAGACTCTCATGAACCGGATAATCTTAGTAGAACGGTTTTACGCATTGTTTTCACTCGGTGATTGTGGTTTCACTGCGGTATGACAAAGGCAGGCTGATACTTTAATAATAATTGATCAACATTCAAGTGAATTCAAAACATCAGAAGTAGCGCGGTCATCAATTCGATGAACCAAATATCTGATACTAAAGGATGGAAGGATCGATGTACTTCCTATCGCCTTTCGGACAGCTTAGTCCGAATGTCTAGCCGGGGTTCCTCTATTCGACCAGTAACTCTATGCCGAGATAAAAGCATTGATAGTTTAAGCTGGTTTCATTGAAAGGGTATGAATGTCGCACATGTGGAAAGTATTGAGTTTATATATGTTTATGGGTCAATAAAAATCAAACTAGTGGTGATATAGTTACAGCCGTTTATGAAATGTATCAAAAATAACTGAGATTTCGTCTACCACTAAGATTTCAGTTTTCCGTTTCCACCCCAAACTCAAATTTTACTGTGTGACTTTAGTAAGGATTGAAATTTACCCAGGAATTGCAATTTGCAGAGGTTATTCATGAATTTCCATTGTAATTTCCATATAGTTAATACTTCTATTAGCGAAAAATATTCTATGAAGTCGAAAAGGTAATGGGGTATGGAGCTGATTACTTATAGCAAATAATTGCTAAATATCTTAGTAAATCATTATTCAATTTCTATTCCCATAGACATAAACAATGGGTTCGGTTAAATATTCATACGCAGTATTTTAGAAATCAGTGTTCGTCTTGAATAAAATTCATGTGGAGCAAAGCCAGGTTAGTCTCATCGAATCCGCTGTCCCGGGGCAGAAACCGCAGATTGATCGTTCTCCTTCTTCAGGATCCAGGGTATTATTTATAAGGATAAATACATAATTCATGCATGCCAAACAGAGATGGAACATTCCACAACCACATCACATTCTGCAACCCCTTCCTCAGGAAATCTCGACCCAGATTGGTTTGTGCATTTACCCTTCAACTATACTGTTAAAAGATCCGTAAAGATTTGAGGAAAAAGACAGTAGAAGGCTGTTTGAATTTACCTCGTAACGTTTGTTGGATAAATGTATACGAATAAGTAAAGAGCGCAGAGAACAACTAGTTTCCGTATATTGTTTTCGCAACTGCTCCAAATGAATAGAATTATGTTCGGATTTTCTGCGAATTGCGGATTCCGAGTGCAACAACTGCTGGCTAACTGACATTAAACGGTCGTCATTACAACGGGCTGAGGTGGGGATAGGTGAACTTTCGTCAGTTACCAGTTCCATCTTGTTGGTGCTTTGTGGTCGCATTTTCAAAACCTTTTCGAGAAGCTTCAAGGTTCGTTCTGTATTAAAAGGAACATGAAATGGTTATAGGAGAATTGTGTGGAAATCAGACATACACAGTATAATAGTGCTGAGAAAAGGTGTGGGAAATTGTCGTAGTGCGTATGAAAAATTTCTCATTTTTGGCTGTGTAATGTTTATTAAAAACTACGACTAGAATAACAAGTAACACCAAGAGACAGCTTCTATAGCTGTTCGCTCTGGGGAGGGAAACGCATCCTCAAATGAGTGCACTACTTTCAAATAATTTATTATTAACAGATAACTAAATACTTATTTTTGCAAAATATTTACCCAACCAGTTGAAGAGAAACCCACGAAACCACTGACTGATACTTCGCTCAAAAACTGGAATTATACCGAAGAAAATCAAGGGCCCTGATCGGAAAAGAAAAGCTTGAACAGTATTTTGTGAAAATCTTGAAAGACAGAACGTCTTGAAAATAATATCATTGTACATTGTACATTGAATGTACTTCAAACCACCCAAAAGGTTGAAATTTGGACGCAGTTCATATGAAAGAGCTAAGTCAAGACGCAGATAAAAAGAACTAGCTACAAAGAGTTAAGAGATAGGCGAATAAAGAGCTTCTCAGGTTATTGTTAAAGGCAATCTCTTATTATATCCATAGTATGTGAATTATTCTCTAAGAAACGCATAATGTATATTTCGTCTTGCTATTAGCTTCCTTTGTGTTAAAAGCATTACTGTATAACACATTTTCCTGAAGGGAAAAGGGGAAAGTTAAATGACTGCTGTGTGTAACAAGAGGGAATTTAGGTGGCATCACTCTGGTTCTCTGATGGTCCGAAAGGAAGTATGGGAAACTTCAGTAAGCTGAAACGATCGCAACTCAAAGCTCTTTACGACAACCTATCAGGGAGAAGCGTTTTCTTGAGAAAAACAGAATACAAAACCTTCCGATATGACAGTATTACGCCTCCAAAAGAATGGAAAAGAAAAATAATGCATATAGTTATTCCATATATAAAATCTGATGCAGATAAATAAGGTCTGCCCGAGGACAAGGCAAAGTAAGTAAAGCATTTGAATAATGCCTACGTTTGGAACCTAGAACTTACCTTCCAGTTTGGAATCACCGGTTTTTAAATAGACTTCACTAAGACGATAAACCACCTGCATTAGTTGAAGCAAGTTGCACAAATTCGGACCGTCGGTATACCTGTCGGAGGACAGAATGGGTTTGAAAATATACACTCTGTTACTCGGAGGTAATACATACGTTCACTAGCACTACCGATATAATTTAGAAGTGTATGTTTTATTCTCTAAAACCACGTACATCACTGCATTGTTCAAATCAGCTTTGGTTCCCAGTTTTAGATTCTGTACGTATGATTTTGCCACGAAACCACTAGTGCGTGCAATGCAAGAAAATCCTTCGACCATTGGAAACGGTATCTCTGAGATTCAGAGCAGATTGCAATAAAAAACGTCAACCTACCGGTACTGATATGTAATCGTGCAACAATAAGGTTAGAAAAACCATAGAGCGGCAGCAAATCACGTTTTGTTGTAGCGAAGCACTGATTCCTACCGTTAAGCATTGGCGAAGGTCAACTTTTAAAAATCGAATAAGGGTTGGAGATGTTTGTGATAACCGACAGCTATTTCGTCCTGTTTGGGACTTGTCAGCAGTGCGTAGGTTCTATGCCCCTGTCAGGAATCGAACCGCAAACATTTGGGTAGTGACTTCAAACCTTTACTCCTGAGCTACACGATCTCCCAAGGAATGAAATCCATACCAAACATCATCAACAGTGCCTGGTGCCTGTGAAAAAAACGAATGGGCTTATTCAAAAATTCACCATTTAATCGAATTGGGGTTATCTAAAAAGGAATAAGAGAATGGTCACAACACGTTCACATTTTGAGAGCCCAAAGTTCCTGGTTTAATCTGAGACTAATAATTTGCCCTTTGCACGCGCAGTTCAACAAGTTTAGGGTAAAAAATACAATGCTATGAATGCATTTATTACTCATACCATATATTCGCAAACTCGAAATCCGCTCTTATCCCCCTTATTATCCGATCACATGGCCGCAGGAAACAAAGCACAATAATTCTTACTCGTTTTCAGCAATATGCATCAATTGTTCGTTTAGGCGGATCACATTCTTCATCGGCTCTTCACCTTTGCGTTTCTCATCGATCTGAAACGAGAGATGCAAAGATTCTGTTTATTCTTATCATTAGGAAACCATAATAACAGTTTGTGCGATCAGCCACCACAGTTCAAATCGCATACTGCGTGTATTAAAGCATGGTCGAACAACTATTTTTCAACAATTATAGAATATCTCACGAAACCCTTTATATAAGTTACTATATAGACCTAGAGTGTATAACCCATTTAAGCATACCAGTCAGTTGTCATCATTTTTGATCAAGGAATACTAGAGGACCACCGCAAAGCGATAACTGTGTATGAAATCTAATTGAAGTGCCACTATCCGTGAGCCAAATGGTGTTCAGACAGCGAAAATATGGCTATATTGTGTAAAATTGTGAACTCAAATACTTTAAATTAAGTGTTATGGAATTTATATCACAGTACTCCATAATAACTCGAAAGCAATCCTATCTAAGCTTTACAAATCAACAAGAGTATATCCTCCATAGGAAGCTGATCTAACTAGGTAGTCGTGCCTATGTAAGATCTGACCAGAACTATTCTCAAAGGGTTTTCGAGGAGCACTGTTCCCACTTAAATTGACTTTAATGATGGTGGGTCTCAAAGGAAGTTAACTCTGAATTCTTCGTTGTTGACAGTAGTCAGAAGCAAGAAACGATGCATCTATAGCGGCTAACATCAAGTAAAGAAACGCAGAGGCTCGCTGTCAACCTCGAAGCATTAGTTCAGCTACACCATGAACACAGTTTTTGACTGATAGAAAATTGAGTCGCACAGATTGTCCAAATTATTTAAATAAATGTATCTCTTCGAGTAGTAACAAAGCAGGTTTCTAAGTGTACAATTACGTTAAAACTGATTATTCCGGCGACAGAGTGACTAGTGTACAGACTTATGCATTTATGGTATAAAAGAGGCAGTTTGTGAACTATAATTCGTCAAATTTGGCAGATTCCTCGCATAGACTCAACTGCTGGTTCATTACCAAAAAAACTAGAGGCAATGTACAGAGTTTAATTATTCAGAATAACTATCATCAGTTGAAAGTGTACTCGTGGAATGCTTTAGAATTACTATTAAGATCACTTGAGTCGACCAAGTTAGACAACCGT